AGAAAGAAAGAAAGAAAGAAAGAAAGAAAGAAAGAAAGAAAGAAAGAGAGAGAAAAGAAGAAAAGAAAGGCCATGTAGATCTTTGAGAGTTGGAGGCCAGCCTGTTATACAAAGAAAGTTCAAGGCCTGTCTCAACATCAGACCTAATCCAGGCATGATTCTCACTCCACAGGCTAAAACAGGATTGAGAGTTTGAGGCCATTTTAGGCTACATAGTGAAATATTGGGACTCCATCTAAGACGAACAAACACAAAGGCCCTTCCCAGGTTCCAGGACAAAACACCTCCTCATTTTATCTGGTCCTCAGGCCCCTGAGCTGGGACCTTCTACCTTGTAAGGTAGAGTTTCTCTGTACACTTTCTGCCTCTAGATGGCGTGGTGGGTAAAGGCATGTGCTGGCAAACCTGATGGCCAGAGTTCAATCCTGGGATGCTCCTGGTAGAGGAGAACAGACTCCCACAGGTTGTCCTCTGACTCCCACACACAATAAATTCATAAATAAAGATAAGTGTGACTTTAAAATATATATATATATATATATATATATGTTAACTTCCTGTTGGTCTGCATTCAGTATATGTTTTAGATGATAAAAACAAAAGAAACCAAACCAAACAAACAAAAAGCCAGAAATCTAACTCCAAAACATTAAAAGAAATAATTGAGACTGATAGTGGAACAAATTAAAATTATTAAGTTTAAAAAGTGTTTAGTAGTTTAAATTCAGACTTTTGGAGAGACAGAGGAACTGTCCTGGTACAGGAGGGACAGTGCGTTGAGCACTGAAAACAGCTGAGTTTTCACAATTCGTCTCCTCCTACTTTTCTTCCTCCTCTTCCTCCTTCTTCTTGTATTTGAGATATGGTCTCTGTACGTCGATAGGCCTGGCTGTCCTGGAACTCCTTATTTAGGCCAGGCTGACCTCAAACTCACAGATCTCTACCTGCCTCTGCCTCTGCCTCTGCCTCCCGAGAGTGAGATTAAAGGTGTGTATCAATGCTCAGCCAGATTACTGCTCTATCTTGATTAGACTTAAACAAACTTTAAAAATGAGTGTCTGTATATACGTGATGTGTATGTATGTGTGCATATTTGTGTATGTGAGTGCACACACACATTCCTACATGTACATGCAGAGGACAGAGAACAACCATGGGAGTCATCTTCAGAAATGCTGTCCATGTCCTTTGACACAGGGATTCTCACTGGCTTGGAGTTCATCAATTGGATTAGACTGATTGGCCAGAAATCCTCCTGGTTGGAATCCTCCTGTCCCAATTTCTCAAGTGTTGGGATTCCAAGTGTCCACCACTATATCCAGTGTTCTGGTGTGGTATGTGGAGACAGTTTCTATGGAATAAATTGACTGGTCTGTTGCTGGAGACTGAGGAGAGAGAGTATGTGCTTGGCACGAAGGTCAAAAGCTAGCACAGGAAAGCAGACTCCCAACATGGCATTACCTTCTTGGAATCAGTGTCTTACTGCTTGCTACATTAACAACATGAAGGGCCTGGGGAGTTAGGTGGCTCAGGACCTGGTTGCTCTTGAGAGTAACCAGAAGGCTTGTAGCTACCTGTAACTTCACTCCCAGGGGACTTATGCCTTCTTCTGGCCTCTATGTGCCCTGCACACATGTGCACAGACATGCATGCACGCAAAGCACACACACATAGAGTACAAATAGAACTTACTTAAGATAATAAAAAAATTAAGTGTAGGTAAATTGATGCATTGGATAGCAGTTCTTACTATACTGTGTTTATTTCTCCCTTGCCTCCAGATAGAAAGAAAATCTCTGATTTCCTTGGTTCTACCATAAGAAGAGTAAAAGCAAAGATATTCAACCACCTCAGTATGGCAACCTTAGCATGGCATCTTGCGAGTTACTGTGCAACAGAAGTTGTTTCAAGGTACCTCGGATGGCTTTTTAGCTCTAGAGACGGTTCTTCCTGGATTTTCTTTGACAAGAAAGTAATATAAATGGAAAATGGACTAGGCTGAACCCCACTTACTTGTCCATATAACAATCTCTCATCTTTTATGAATATTATTTTATTGTCATATTCATTACACATAGTGATGTGTTTAATAAAGTTACTTACGTACAAGTATATCGTGTTCATTGACTATGTACACGCATGCATGTCGTGTGCATTGAGTATACTTACACGGGTGTACGTTACACATGTTGACTATATTTACACGTATGTGCTTTTCCTTTCCTCTGCCTTCACGCTCCTGCTGGTTCCTTTCATTCGCCCAGACAATTTTGCTTCTACTTTAATGGCATGTACACATGAATGATTTTATTGCACGTTAGTATTATTATATGGATTAAAAATATTACTTCTTTAATATTGTATTTATGTGTTTATTGTGTGTGGATGGTGCCTCTGTGTCATTGTATTGTGTGGGGCTCAGAGGACAACTTTCAAAAGCCATTTTCCTTCTACCATGTGGGGCCTATGGATAAAAGGTTGTGAGGCTGAGCAATCTGGTTCAAGAAGGGCTGAGGATGTAGCTCAGCTAATAGAGGGCTTGCCTGCTGTGCACAGAGCCCTAGTTTAATCACCAACACTGAATGAAATGAGAAATGACGGCAAAACACTTACCATGCCAACATTGATTCATGTCTGGTCCACACGTATCTGGTATCTGGTGAGACTCCTGTGGAGTAATAGAGGCAGGGGGATCAAAATGCCCAAGGTCACCTCCCACTACATAGTTTGAGGGCATCCTGTGATACAGGAGACCTTGTCTCAAGTCACTAGACATTAGGCTGAGTGTGGTGCACATACCTCAGCTGTGGAGCCTGAGGCTGGAGGACTTGAGTTCAAGGCCAGCTTAGTCTACATAGGGAGTTATAGACCAGCCTGGGCTACAGAGTAAGACTTGTCTCATAAAAAAAAAAAAAACCAAACTAAATTTTGTTCATACTCTTATAATTATTCAATTTTGAATGTTTTGAAATTTTGTTTGTAAAGTATGAAATCTGAAATCAGTTGTGGCCAACAATTGATTTTACATGAGTCGTCCTCTAGCTGCACAGCCTACATATAGTGTATAGACCTATACTGTCGGTACTCAGGACCTAGAGGCAGGAGAATCATGAAGTTAGACCACCCTGGGCTTCAGGAGACCTTGTCTCAGGAAGAAAAAAAAAAGATAGAAGATTAGTCAGGGTGGGTATACCTTTAATCCCAGCACTTGGGAGGCAGAGATAGGCAGATCTCTGTGAATTCTAGGCCAGCCTGGAATAGAGGCTTGCCTAGTCTTCACAAAAGCACACTCTAGAGTGAATTCCAGGACAGCCAGGGCTACAATTAAAAAAACCCTCTCTTGGAAGAAAGAAAGAAAGAAAGAAAGAAAGAAAGAAAGAAAGAAAGAAAGAAAGAAAGAAATATAAAGCATTTAAATTTTAATTTAGGACTTATGAAAGTATGTTTTTATGAGCAGTAGAGATTTAAGGTTCTAAAAGTAAATATAAAATACTAATTGTAGGTCATCTTATTACAAAATGGAAATGTTCATTCATTTGTGAGTGTTCATATAATTTTAAGAAGCCAATGGTACAAAGGGTAAATGTAATGTAAATGCATTCTATACACACAAAACTCAAAAAATAAGTAGATATTTTTTCAAGAAGGAAGCCAGTGGCTCTTTAAATATTTCATATTTAACATGTATTTTTGTGTGTACTCTACACATGTAGAGCTCAAATATCTCCCACTTTCTCCGTCTACTATATGCTTGGGGGCAAACACATTTTTGAGACAGGATCTCTCCCTGTAGTCTATGCCTCAAACTCAGTTATCCTCCTGCCTCAGTTTGCCAAATCCTGAGATTGTAGGTGTGTGCCACAACACCTGGCAAGGAGCTAGTGGCTCCTTAGTAACACAAAATTTTAATTTAGTTTCAGATAAGAAATTTACAAATTGAAGCTGGGTAAATTCATTCCTTAGAAGAATGAGTCAGGAGGAGTGCTGGGAGTTGGAGGCCAGTGTAGGCAACACAAGGAAACCCTGTCTCAAAAGCCAAATACATGTACAAATTCACAAGTTTACTAGAATTTATGGAATGACAGAAACCATTAAAACACTTATTCTTAAGTATGAACAAAGACACCGGAGGTTAGTTTACTAGAATTTATGGAATGACAGAAACCATTAAAACACTTATTCTTAAGTATGAACAAAGGCACCGGAGGTTATTACATAAAGAGTGTGGCAGGTTGTAGTGGCACATGTCAGCAGGATGCGCTGAAGAAGACTTTAGGCCGGAGGCTCATTCGTCTAAAGTAAGGCCAGCCTGGGCTACATCCACAATAAAGATGCATTGTTTGCGTGTGTGAATCATTATCAAAGAATAAATAAAAGGTACTCTTATTGTTTTTTTAAAAGAATTTGAATATCCTTAACAATACCTGCAGAGTATCAAAGCAGAAGCTGGGACTCATAGCCAAACTTTGGGCTGAGTGCAGGGAATCTTATGAAAGAAGGGGGAGATAGAAAGACCTGGAGGGGACAGGAGCTCCACAAGGAGAGCAACAGAACCAAGAAATCTGGGCACAGTGGTCTTTTCTGAGACTGATACTCCAACCATGGACCATTCATGGATATAACCTAGAACCCATGCACAGATGTAATCCATGGCAGTTTAGTATCCAAGTGGGTACCCTACTAATGGGAACAGGGTCTGTCTCTGACATAAACTGATTGGCTTGCTCTTTGATCACCTCCTCCTGAAGTGGGAGCAGCCTTACCAGGCCACAGAGGAAGACAATGCAGCCACTCCTGAGGAGACCTAACAGACTAGGATTAGAAGGAAGGGGAGGAGGACCTTCCCTATCAATGGACTTGGGGAGGGGCATGCGTGAAGAAGGGGGAGGGAAGGTGGGATTGGGAGGGGAAGAGGGAGGGGGCTACAGCTTGGATACAAAGTGAATAAACTGTAATTAATAAAAATAAAAAGAAAATATTATAATAAAAATTACCAAAAAAATTGAAAATAGGAAGTCTGGCACTATTGTGGGTTTTTGTCCTGCTATCATGGTTTATTAGAAGTCTAATTATGATGGCTCATTCCTGTAATCCCAGAGTTTAGGAAGCTGAGGCAGGAGGACTGTCATGAGTTTGAAGTTAGCTTGGGCAGCAAAGTAAGTTCTAGGCTGTCAGGGCTACAGATAAAACCTTGCCTCAAAAACAAACAAAACAAAACAACAAATAAATAAATAGAACCAAGCACATTCGGGGGTGGGGGGGGGACCACAACAGCAACCAACCAAACCAACCAACAAACCAAAAAACTATCTTTTAGGATGGAAGATTATAAAAATCTGTTTAGAAAATGCTTTTCTTATTTACGGTATCGTCAGATCTGAGCTGGAGTCACAGGCAGTTGTGAACTTTGCAGCGAGGTGCTGGGAGCCACGCTCCTGTCCTCTACAAGAGCAGTAGAAATACACACAAACCAAAGCAGAAATGAGTCTTCTGTGAGTCTTCTGCTTTGCTAAAGTCTTTAGTGAGTTTTGAAAAACAAACAACAACAAAAACCTTCTGAACTCGTAAGTTGAAAGAGATTCAGATGCTCTAGCAGCTGGTAACACACAGCTGTTGCTCCCAGCACTTGAGGGGCTCTGGCAGGAGGGCTGATGCAAGTTCAAGGTCAGCCTGGCTTTGCAGAGTGAAACCCTGGTGACCAAAGAAGAAGGAAAGATGGAGAAAGGGAGGGACATTACAAAGATCAAACCAGATAGACCAGGGAAGATTTGGATTTGAATTCCTGGAAACCTAGCTGAAAGGCAGGGCTAAACCACCACTTTAGCATAAAGTACTTAGACATAACTGTTCGTGCCATCTCATAGACATGTTTCATACTACCTATAAAAAGTCTGCCGCGAGGTCAGGCAGTGGTGGTCCACGCTTTTAAACCCAGCCCTTGGGAGGCAAAAGCAGGCGCGTCTCTGTGAGTTCTAGGCTAATCTGCTCTACCAAGCAAGTCCCAGAGAGCAGGGCTCCATTATACAAGAGCCCTGTCTTGGGGGAATGAAAGGAGGGTGGGCTGGGGGTGGGGGCAGAGTTCTAGGACAGCCCATATGTGTCCTTGCAAGGAGATGAAGAGTAACCTGCTACAGTCAGGTGGGACAGATTAAGAATGAGGCTGAGGAGAGTAACAGGTGCCTAACCGACCTCTTGAGCGATCTGCCGCTTTACACTGAGAAACTGTGCAGCCTCAGCGCAGGAGTACCGCCGGAAGTCAGGCTGCGGCAGACCTAGTCTGGTGAGGAAGGAACTCAGAGTTATAAAAAAGCAGTTGGTGCGGAGGCTGGGGATTTCCTCCATCAGGAGAGGGCTTGTCTAAAAATGGTCCCCAGTACCACATCAGCCTGGCTTGAGGACACCTGCCTACAATCTTAGCACTGAGGGGCGGAGCTAGGAGGCACAGAGACAGAACCAGCCCGGGCTGTGTGAGACATTTTCTCAGCAAAGGTGTAAGAACAACCAGCCCTCCAGGTAATGAGCGTTTAGCATAGAGACTGGCCTCTCTCCTGCTGCAGTTCCTAACAGGCATGGTCGGCTTTTCTATATTCACCGTCACCCTGACGGGTTTTATCTGAACTCATCTGGAAAAGAATTACACTCTTTGTTTTTTTTTTTTCCTTAAAAAAAACTCATTTTATTTTTATTTATTTATTTATTTATTTACATTTTATTTTTTTTAATTTTATTTTTCTTTTTTAATTTTATTTTTCTTTTTAGTTACATTTTGTTAAAGAATTACACTCTTATTTTTGCGTGGCTGTGCGTGTTTGTGGGCACGCACAAGCCACAGCAGGCACGTGGAGGTCTCTGGGATGGAGAAATTGCCTTGGTCCAGCTGACGGTTTGAGTGTCAGCCGGGTGCAGTGCTGCAGGCCTGTAGTCATAGCTCTTGGAAAGCTAAGGCAGGAGGATAAAAGCCGGGGGCGGGAAAGATGTTTCGGTGTTTGGGCGCACTGCGGCTCTACCGTAGCACCTGGCTTCCATTCGTCAGCATCCGCACGGTGGTTCACGGAGTAACTAACTCCTGTTTCCAGGAATCTGATGCCCTCTTCTGGCCTCAGTAAGTACTGCATGGACTCACGCTACATAGACACACAGGTAGGCAAAACACCTACACGCATAAAACAAAACTAAGTAAATCTTTAATAAAAATAAACAAATTTAAGGGGCGTGTTTGAAGCTAGTCTGGGCTACATACGGAGACGTAGTTTGAAAGCACACACAGCCTAAAACCCTGAATAGCACTGTGGGACA